CCTTTCAGCCTTAATCTAGACGCCTGTTGAGATTGGCGCTGGCTACACACGGCCTGACGACCCCTACTATAGAAAGCTTCACTCACGTGACTGGTGAGATTCTCGATTCTACTGGAGCCAAATTAACGTTCTCGGTACACCTAATTTTTCTTCGAAATTCGCTCGCGAATGTTTTACGTGACGTCGGTATAATGTCGATTGAATTGCCCATTTTTTAGTGCGTCGAACGAATCGCCCCCTAATCCGTTATTCGTACCCTCAGCTTGCACTGATTTCTACATAAAATCAATTGTCTCCACTGAGGTGTGAGAACTCTAATTAGGAATTTATTTTCATCGGTGTTTGGTTCTGGGAATCAGCGAGAAGCAGCTTGTTTTTCTTCTGCAAAGCAGTCTCTTTGGTCGCTGGTTTTTAATTAATTTTATCCCGGTTGCGCATTTGTTTATCCTGCACGGCTCCGAAACGGTGAACGATGATCGACTGTGGTTGAATTGATGTCCGCTGTCTCACCCCTGTAGTGTACTTTTAAACTTTACGCGAAGACAGCTAATAGATGGGTCGAAAGGAACATGAGGCCTGAAGTAATGCCCACGTTGACCAACTCAGAATGGACAGCAGGAAAGTCGGATGTGGCCATAATTCTCGCAGTCATGGGCTATTTCGTACTGTCATTCAACTGGTGAAACGTTAGGCTGTGTCAATTCGCTGATGAAACCTTATCGATAAAACTGTTGAACGTGGTTCCGTCTTATTCGACCTGTGGTAACCCCACACTGTACCGGTCGTGCTTCAGTTTAAATAAATGACCAGGAGTACAGATTGACCTAACCGCATGTTGAACCTTTCCAATGAATGGCTATTTGGTTGTTAACCCTTAAGTTCAGCACCAGCTGAACAATAGCATAAACGAGGGATCCAGATGAGTCTACCGTAAAAAAATCAAATTGGTATACAAATGAGTGAGCGTATTTAGGGGGCTAACAGAGTTGGTTGGAACAACAGCCATCTCGAGATTGCTCAGTGGTTAGAGCTTGAATTTACTGACCGGAAGGTCCGTGGTTCGAATCCGACCTCTGCATCTCGACTTCTCCCGTCTAGGCTTAGGCAACCTGACAGTATACCAGCCCTTGTGCTTCGTTCGTTTGGCATGGCAATCAGGCACCAAGCTGGTGTTACAGCTGGACGATTATCGTTTAAGATTTGGACGTTTGAAATTACTAGAAGGATGTTCGAGAAAGGAAAAACTTCGCACCCAGTATTGGAGCGATTGAGGTGTTGCCTCTTGATTGATACGATTAGGAACTGTGGCGACTGCACGCAGACTTACATGAGACAAAATGCCAGGCAGGTGCACACGCGAATTAGTGAGCACAAGCGGCGCATAAAAAAACCACGAAGGAACAAAGCTGAGTATTTGGCGGTAATTAACTACTCGTCAATGTCACGGCGTCGACACTCGACACCAAGCTAAAACAGATTGCTGCGAAATCCACACTGTACAGACTCGTGATGGAAGAGGGAGAAGTTTCAATAGCCTAGAGTAAGTAGAATGGAGATTCTAGAACTGTATTGCACTCGGAGAACGGTTTGTATCAACTGAGTTAACACGTGTCTGTTCGCGGTTGTCGATGAAGTGGTCCGTGTCTTAAGTGCGATATCTAAACCGACCAGTAAAATTTGTGAACGATATCCAAGAGAAGTGTTCCTCCACAGCGCTCTTACTTAGAAGAGTAAGGCCCTGGAGCCCTATTTGACTAAACCGTCTGCCGTAAGTGATTCTCACTCAACTTGATAACCCACCTACTTAACCTGACGGAACTTTTGCGTCAAGAGCGAACCGAGGCCTGTCGACTAATTTACGGATTACCTACCAAACCTGTCTGAAACTTCCAAGCATTTTCCAATTGGCTTTTATGCTCTGAGGATCGGGTAACGAGTTTATCCGCGGGGGGACCCTTTACCCAACGTTTACGGCTTCTATTACTAACTACTCATTCCCATTCAAGTAGTCGAAACAAAATCGTTATCACGTAGACACTTCCCCTGAATCCCGGTTGGTGGTGCCTCAAGGAACAATAAGCGTGTCGTATTACAAGTGCATTTGTTCACAATCGCCCAGAGACTTTCGTTTACACAAATAGGAATTTTTGCTCTGTGACAACTCATTCTCAGTGATAACCGCATATCTGCAATATCTTCTAGCAAATTTGTTTTCAGTGTGGAGCTCTGTTATGACATTTGTGTCCCCTGGCTTTCTCTTTCTTTTGTGTTAGCAATATCGAATGATATGGAAAAGAAAACCCGATCAAGTAGCTTGACACCGGGATGGTTTAAACGCTTTTCGAATAGACATCGGTCCAAGGGAGACACCTTTCCTCCTTTAGGTCTCCCCAATCCAGCGGATGCTGCCTACGAAGGTGAGATAAATCCATGAGTTTTCTTATTTTGGCTGAAAGATTGCACCTTGGTCTATCTATCTATATTGTTTGGTTCATTACCACGTGAACAGAGAATTTTTGAACCCATTTTTTCGATTCTTCAATTCGGTGTTTTCTTAACAGAACAAGTGTCAAGGGAATCCAGCCTTAGTTCTGAAGTCTCCATTCATCTTAATGAAATTCATTTATCTGACCGATTTGAAATAATTGAAACTTGACTTGAAGGTAAGTTCGAACACGGGTAATTTCACAGGATTCCAGCTCGATGGCTACGTTTTGATTCAATATTGGAACTTCCAAGTGAACGTTTCGTTAAATTCACGGTTTTGAACACCTATTTGTTTTGACCCTTCTCAAGGCTGGTCAGTTCGTGTTAGAATTTGTGTATTGATTGACCTGCAACGCACAAGTAAACATGGGGTTAGATATGATAAACGATAGTTCAGGGTGATTGTAATGGTGTAACGGTGACTGATGAGGAGGTACGCGAGTAGTATGTGTTGTTCGTAGAATTTCGTTTTGCGTCTATTGAAAAAGGGAGATCTGTTGCGAAATTCGTGGAGCCACTTTGTAATATTTGCTTGGATTTGACCGACGAATGAGTGGAGTCAGTGACTCTCGAGGAAAGTTCAAGAAGACTCGTTCGGGAGAAGATGGGTGTCCAGTTTTTGTAACTAAGATGCAAATTAGAGTTCTGCCTCCCTGTTCAATGGCCTGTAACCGGTCAGTTGGCATTTCCTGATAAATAACTCCGCGGCGAAGCCCTTTTTCCCTTCAATGGTAGGACGTAACGCGTGACAATACACAGCGGCCGTCCAATCGCTGCCTGAATACAGTCCAAATCCTACTGAAAAATCCTCTTAGTACAAATAGGGGTGAGCGAAAGCCAGGATCATCCAGTCGTCAGTATTGGTTTGTTCTAGCCTGCGGACAAACAATCGGAGCACCTCCTGATACAAGCTAATAATGAACTAATCAAAATCAGGTGGATCAGGTGCTCGGGACGGTGTCCATGCCGATTGTCAATGCACTGGTGAAAAGGCGGCGATTTGGCCTATTAAGGCGAGAGTTTTCGGAATTACGACACTGATGTAGTTTAAAGTTAAAAAAACGTGCCTCTTCGTTTGTGCGCTTCTGTCGACTGGGCGGGATACTATAAGCTGGTACTAAGTTACAATGCAAATAAACTGTGGTGGGTCCGCCCGTCATATCGGTACCGGACCACAGGTTATCAGATGTTATTTTGTCATGGCCTCGGTCGCCTCTTTGTTCTTTCCCCCGTTGATTTTCTCGTTCTGCTAACCGTCAGCCTTTCAGGCCTGATTTTGGCATGCATGTTAGCAAGCCACCTCATATATTTGTGCAGCGTGATTGCATTTTGTGCGCGGGAGGAATCTGCCACAAACAAGTCCCCTTTCTCCTTCACAAGTGATGAAGACTGATGTTTTACGATTTTTCTGTCAGATACCGTTATACGGTTGCTGTTCTTGTTGGGCTGGGTAGATCAAAGCACGATGTTGGTAATACGGCCTTGTAACGTGACGAATTTGGTTGAGCGTGACTTTTGGATTGGTGGATTAGTTTATGATCACGCCAACACCGGTTTACCGGTGGGTTAAGAATGATTTGGAGCAAGCAGCAAGCGCTGTTAACCATTTATTGAGTTCACCGAATAACTCAAGATGATTCCTCTGGCGCAACAGTCAACATACCTCTGAAATTCTCGCATGAGTTAAAGTCGAATATCATCAAAGTGGTACCTTGATGTTGGATCATGTATATTATGTCGAAGAGGAACCCAGAAACCGCGTTCAACATGGTAGTCTCTGTCCGGGATTCTTATGGTAGGCAGTTCGCTACGACTTTTGTTTTGGCACGTCTATCAACCGATCATTCCCAGCTACCTTCAATTGTTGTCTCACGTTGCAACGCTGTTCAACCCAGCTTGACCTATGGCGCTGTTTGGGTAGCGGTGCCTAGGAAGTCAACATTGCAGACGAGATGATGCAGCGATTCCGAGTTCGAACCCCGGGTGACCTGCGACTATTCGCTCATCGGTCAGCTTAGGTACCGAAGTGTTCCTAGAAGCCAAGACTATAGTGAGCGATACGTAGGCAATGGTGTGGGAGCATCAGATCCAATTAAGGAGAGTAGCCAGCAGTCTGGGGCCATAATTGCTCTATTCAGTGCGATGGACTGAATATTCGCACCTCTACTGGGGCGCCGTCATTGGAACAAGCTCTTCGTCCACGGGACCACCTAACCCAGTCCAAACAAGTTCGTACATTCCCAAACTGATGCTTTTATCCGTGGTTCGAAAGCTCCATATTTTTCTGGAGTCATGCTTTGCAAGCAACACTATCGTCGTACGTCTCTAAGGTACTGGAAGCGCGTTGGACCAAGTGGTTAGCGCGCGAATTTACTGACCGGAAGGTCCGTGGTTCGAACCCGACCTCTGCCTCTCGATTTCCGCTGTCTAGGCCTGGGCGACCTGGCAGTATCTCAGTCCTCGTGGCTCCTTCGCGTGGCACGGTAGCTAGGCACCGAAAGCGTGCTACAGCTGAACGATATTATATATATATATATATATATATATATATATGCTGACAAAAAAATTTTGCCTTCACTTGCTTCAGACCACTTGTGTTGTGGTCCAGCTCTTTGCTTTTATCCGTGGTCAACCTTATGTTCTGCCTCAAACCTAATTGCACGAAATTAGCGAAATACACTCATTTACAAACTAATTTGGTTTTGCGAGAGACTCATTTGGAACCCAGCTGTATCTCTCGTTTGTGATATTTCCCGGAAACTGTTAGTTAAGATGCTTTGAGGTTTTAAGAACTCTGAACAGTAGCTTACACCTTTGAGTGAAATTTATGCCTGTTCATCTTGAAGGAAGTTCCAAGTAGCCGGACAGGTTCCATGTTTTTTTCCGGTGTCAAATCCATCTCATAGCCGCTCAGGTCGGACTGAAAGTTACCGAATGCTCGCTGCTAACACTGGTTACACGCTCTTGACTATGGCTTCCGTTTCCATGTGGAAAGAATCACCTTTCGTCTCTCTCCACTTCCCTTTCACATTGTCTTATCATGTTGTCCAATCGATAAGCCATTCGTTAATCAGGGTTAGGGATCAAAGAGTACAATCTTCTAGGGTATTTTGACCTAACTTGTATTATTCTGTGTCCAGCGTCCTCAGTGTTCGGTTACTCAGAACACGCTACTGGTGGACATCTCAGGTGTCTACGTTGAAGTGGATTGGTTTTTCTCCTAGAACTACTCCCATAGTGGCTATGTGAAGGCTGTCTTCTGGCAGAACAAATCTGACATGCACTTCTAGTTGTTCCGCTCTGGATAGACCACTTTGATTGGTCCCTTGAAGCGGATTTCGCTGCGCTCATCATTCATTGGTTGAGTGACCACCATTCCTATTGCACAGCCCTCACACGACAGCTGTTGGTTACCTTGGCTGTCACCGGGTATCATCTGATTTCGTACTGTCCGAATGGATTATGTGTTGAAAGCCGAGAAACCTCGGGGTTGTTTGGTCTTTCTCCACGGTCATCACTGTGATCAATATCACAATGCATCACAGCAGATTCAACCCGATTCTTTGTTCTTTTCGCGTCCAAGTGATTTGTGCTATTGTCTTTTATTGCAGATGACGAACTGGGATCCATTCGCAGCTATGAGACTGTGATTCCCCTCACCATCCACATGGCACGTCCATTACTGATATTTGGCCCGCTAAAAGAGCGCGTGATCGATGCGCTTCTTCAAGATCCAAAATATGCTACATGTGTTCCTCGTAAGTTTTCGGCGTTATGTATGCTCCATTGTCTGGTTTCAGTTTGGCGCTCCTCCAGTTTTGTCCCTTGAATTTGGATAACCTTGATCGATTTTCCCCTTGAGTTCCATGGGGCCGGGACTCCCACGCGGTATGCACAAACTGCAGATTGTCAGCTGGGATTCCGTTCCATGATGTTATCAGTTAACAGTCACGCAACGTGTGCACCGGAGGACACGGGCTTTGAGGTCATTGCCGTTGTTCTCCAATGTCCCGGTAGTGGTAATTTCTGTGAGATGGGGCGCACAAAATGATTAATCAGGAATGGTCGCGTAATTTTGATCGGGCGCGATAACCACTAGAAGTTTTCCAGTCTTCGGTCAGGGCGGATACTCCAGAGAACTACTTCCTGAAGGTGATCAAGCTGAAATACTTGTTCACTCGTGGTCTACAGTTGAGCACCGGGCTCGAGATAGTTCTGTGTTTAGGGTGCAAACCTAGTGCCAGGAAGGCTTATGGTTCGAGTCCAACTCCGGCATGTTGACCCTACCTGTCTAAGGTTGGACAACTTGGAAGTATCTCTGCTTTCGTCTATCCTTCTGGTGGCAAGGATGGCTAGCTCGGCGCCCAAAAGGTGTTGCAGCTTGTAAACCGTACATCACTTCCTGGCAGTGAGAGAGTATCAGACACTGACTAGGTTTCGCAGGATGTTATTGTGGGCCCTTCAGATTGATGAGCTTTCTTATCCAAAAATCCATTTTGGTTGAAGTAGCGCATGTGAACTCTTCGTTTGAGTCGGATGTCCAGTCTGCTGGACTCAGGTTGCTTTTCAAACGCACCTTACCGTAAAGTTCATTGGTGTACTTTGTGGTGAGATGAAGAACATTCACTCAATATTTCCATGCAACACTGCATTTTCAATGGAGATTTCGTCCTTTAGGCGAAGTAGGTCCCTGCTTAAAAGCCGAGTAACACTTTGCAACTGTTTCCTGCTTATTGAAAGTCATCAGCATCACGAGTCCTACTCCTGTAGGGAGTTTCGAACTCGTGACCTCCCCCCATGATAATCTCACAGATGGATGTGTGACGGATGGGTACTTCGTCGGTGGGTCGTGTGCATTCACTTTATTCACGACCTACTCATCTCTTTGTTCTCGGTTGATCGTGCTGTGCTACTCAAACGATCAATCCAATAAATTAGTCTCAGTTTATTTTTGTGCTCACTGACGGTTGCTATCCAAACCGATCAACAATGGCCAACCCACTGCAAGCCTGAGCACAGCAGAAAGCCGCGACCGCAAGCTGTCGCTTGAGGTTGCCATGTCCGGTGGTGTAAGACAAGGCGACAGTCTTCAACTTGTTACTGCTTGAAACTTCTCTGCGTTTCTCTGAAACCTCAGAGATCCAACTGTTCCCGGGTCACGGACAGTGAGTATGCGGACGATGTTGTTCTTCTTCAAAGATGCAAACCTGAATGATCCTGCCGGCGCTTCACATTTGCAAAGTGCTTCTACAGGACTGAGTGGGGTCAAATTCAAACCTCATGCTTGCAGATGAGCCAATCAACGATGTAGATGAGTTTGTTTACCTGGGTAGTTGTATCAGTTCCGTTGTACTGGCTGGAAATGAGCGTACTTTTCGAATCGGCAAGGTCAGGACAGCTTCTGACAGACTCCGGCACCTATAGCGCAGACGTGACGTCAGTTTGTGTGTCAAGTTCTGCGACGATGCGACCCATACTGGTTCATTGGTGAGAAACGTGGTATCTACGCGTAGAACGCAGAACCAACGTGCCCTTTGTAGAAGGTTTTTAGCCGTCTAGCTGAGTGACTTACCGACTGATCGATGGTTTGTACGGAGCCGAACAACCCGACATCCATACCGTGAAATGACCCCGGTTTAGTAGGTTGCCGGAACCGGAACTTCAAGTTGCAAGTTTCCGCCCCACGCGGCCGCAGAGATATCAAATGTCTGCCAAAGATACCAATTAAAGTAGATGACTGTACCTTACGCAGTGGGTTACAGGGTGTGCAGCCCAGTTGGTCACCTCTTCCGTTTAGAGTGTCTTAACTTCTTCGAAAAATACACTCATTTGCAAATCAATTTGGTTTTCACGAGAGACTCAACTGAATCTCTCGTTCATGCTATTCTATAACTGGGTTCAACTAGAACATAAGGTTGACGGGAACTCGGGGACTGCGCCTACTTGATCAGCCCCAAAAGGGCGATCCAGCCGTGGGCAAGAGTTTTCAGAAACCTTGTGAGTAGTTTCCTCTATCTTAACTTCTGTTAGTTTCGGTCGACAGATTTTAGGATTGCTGTTCTGACGTCTTCAGTTTCCCCGTGATACATCTTGATGCGCACGAGGATGAGGTGAACGTTAGTTTGAAGGTGTGCATTAAAATCTAGCCACTGCTGGATGCACTTTTGGCCAACTAATATCTTGTAACGAGAATTCGGAGACCAGTTGGCTGACTTGCTGACAGTTTGCTTACGATACGCTAAAAACCTCTTCGGAACCGCACAAGTTGTATTCGGATGTATCTTGACGGAAAAACGGCCTAATTAGTTCTGCGAAGTATTTCCGAATTCCCCCATGTGCTAGTCTCTTAAATTGTGGGCTGTGTTCATCGAAAAATGCTTCATTCCTACCCTAACCAGACACGACCCGACCGCCTCGGACAGGTGAACGCGATGGGGTGGATTATTACTTCGTGAAGGATCGTGCACAAATGGAAGAAGATATCAAAACAGACCGATTTGTCGAGGTCGGTCAATTTCAGGATCAATACTATGCTACGAGTGTGGATTCGGTCCGTCGGACATTACAAGCCGGACGAGTTTGCGTCTTGGACGTCAGCCTGCCAGCTATCCGGCGCCTCGAGGTGAGTCTTGTTCGCTTCTTTCCGAATGTGGATGGGTTGAATCTGGTTGTGGAAATTTGTAAGCCCCCGAGGACCTGCTGTTCCCCGCTGTATCGTTATTTCACAACCCAACTTTGTCCAGTTAGTTGGCTCGCAAACAGTCGCTCTCTATCAACAGGAACAGTGTAGTTTGTGGCCCATTTGTTTTCACTAATGACGTTTGTTTCGCGCGGCTGCAGATCACGTTACTGCTAATCGCTGAATGTTTCATCTTTACCGGCCCAAATCGCGCTCCACCAAGTTGTGTTCTCTCTTTCTTATAAGGAATTAGCCTTTTTGTATTTAGCCACTAAATGACATGAGAACACATGCCCTAATCGTAATTGTTCAGCTGTTACACCCTTTCGGTACATAGCCGGTACCATGCCCCCTGAAGTGCCAGGTTACCAAACTCGAAACGGAAAAGTCGAGATGGAGGATAGGTTTTAATCACGGACCCGTCTGGTCAGTAAGTTCGCTGAACTGCTGAACTACTTCGAGCTCAAGTCATGGCGATAGGTTATCGTGGAGAACGAGTATCAGAAAGACAATCTAGCGCCCCAGGTCCTCGATGTTTTGATTGAATGCATTTGAGTTCAGTTGATCATTATGAAAATTCCAGGGACGAAGGAAATGCAGAGTACTGGACACTACTTTTTTGCTTTCCCATATTTGTCTGCTTATTACTTTTCAGTCCCGAAAAAAGTATTCATACTACTCACGAAATCAGCACATTCGCCTGGTACACCGGTTGGTTGGTTAGTAGTATGACACGTATCCAAATCCGTTTTTCTTCAACTCTCTTAGCGTTTGGAGGTGGAGAGGTACGCTTGTCATCAGCATCTTCTTGGGAGGTGATTTGTACTTCTCTATCATCTTTTCAAGCCAGCCTCGTGTAGAGCTGAGTGAGACGACATTCAAGGCTATTCGAGCCAAAACAGGCATCCAGTGTGGCTCAGTTCCGTTCAGTTTTTCGACAATGAACTGTGCTTCAATAAAGTGACACTGATATGGTTTCGCACCCTTTCAGTGATGCGCTTTTCGTAGCTGAACTCCATGGGTTGACTGACCCCTGTCTTCAGAACTTCGGATGTCTTACTTCTGAATGACTCTGCTCTAGTTCGCCGATGCTCAGCGATTTTTAAGTCTCTGCCAGAACAGTCAAAGACAAAACTTTTCAAGTGCTATGGTATATACACAATACTTTTCAACCCTGACCAGACTGATCTTTGTGGAAAGTACGTCTCTTGAAAGACGACGCTCTTGTAACACAAGTATGCGTGGGCGCGTCACTCTCCCTTTGGAGACATCTGAATTGCACTTTCTTGACACTAGCTGCTAGTGTAACGGTGGATACTACTGTGAGGTATGCGAGTGGTATGTTATCTCGTAAATCCGCTTCGCGTCTCTCGAAAAGTGAGATCTATTACGGAATTTGTGGAGTCGCATTTGCTTGGATTTGAGCAACAGTTAATGAATATCCAGGAAAGTTCAGGAAGATGCGTTCAAACAGAAAATGGATGTTCAGTTTTTGTGAACAAGATGCATATGACAGTTTTGCTTCCCTGTCCAATAGTCTGTAACTGTTCTCTTGGTGTTTTCTAATAAATAACTCCGCAGCGAAGGTCCTCTTCCTTTCACTGGTATACAAATGACTCTTGTGGTTGCCTCTGGATGGGACCATATTGGGATACCAACACTACCCAAATTTCTTCGGTGCCGTCCAACAATCATGTTGATGTTGTGTAATGAAATGTATCCTTATTTTCCACTGTTCGTTCCCCGTGCATCTCAGCTGGCAGGATTTCATCCGATCTCTATCCTCCTTCAACCATTATCTGCGATGCATTTGCGAGCGATCCAGCGCCGACTAACCGAGGAGCAAGCCAAGCGGAGTGTGGATATGGCACAACGACTTGAAGCTGACAACTGGCGGTTGTTTTCAAGTAAGCGTTTTTTCTATTCCGTATGGTCTTATGTGTGTGTGTGTGTGTGTGCTTGTCTATTTCACCACTGCCTTTTCGTCTGTCTCGGGTGCACGCATCAGGATCTTTGGTCTTCGAAAACTGTCTGAGTTGTTTCTCGACCTCGACGGCATGAGAAACGCGGGACCTTGTTCCACTCCGCCAGGGAATTTGTTGATGTTGAGCACGAAGTGGGGTAGTGGTCCCATCGTGCTCTCAATAGTGCTTTTGCATCCAGGCCGCTGCATTCCCAATTTCCCTACTCAAAAGTTCACTGACAACCCTGTATTTATGCATCAGTTATATCAGCTCCCGCCTCCCATGCGCAGCTATCCACCCCACTTCCCCAAATCATCGGTGGCAGCGATAATCACTCTACGACGAATAAGTGGTTTTTATAGGTGATTGATAATGATTCGAAGAGACAGATTGTTGGCGTCTTGTCCAACCTGCGGATCTAGGAATCTTTCACCGGATGTCCATCCAGTCTCTTGAGTATTTCGACCTAATGGAGAGGCTCAAGTTATGTGTACCGCTGCCATCAGGTGCGTATAGCGTGCAGCCTTACAGGGCAGGTGTTTGGGTCTCAGAACCCGACGTGGCTGAGGGCAGTACTTAATGAACACCAAACTGTAGTCCATTGTTCTACTCATTTAATGCAATGTGATCCCCGGACAGGAGCATGACTGTTCCAATCGGACACTGTGCATCATTCTCTGTCTTCACCGCGCTTTGCGCGCACACAGCAGATCTTTTGACGGTCACAACGATGGTGTGGATATGCTCCGATTCCTGTTCCATTTTCAGCGTTTGGTTTGATTCTGAATGAATGCACCAAGTCGAGTTTTACTTCTTCCGCTTTCAAAAGGCTTAGTGACGTCCAGCACTCTCAATTTAACGTCAAAATGTGATAATAACGTGAAGTTCATGACCCTTACAGCTCAGGATCACATTTGTGAACTCCGTGTATATATGGTGCTCTGACTGTGTTCAAATTTAGATGAGCGAAGGCGGGGGACGACTTTTTTTCAGCCAAGCGAGGAAACCGTGTCGTACGCGAACTTGTCCAGTTTATGTCATTCCAAGTCTTGTGTATCACTCTCAAGCAACTTACTGGTGAGATCGGGGAAATCAAATGATCGTTTCGGAGACACGAGCTACCAGCCCTAGGTTTGCAACATTTCTTGGCAGATTGTAGTAAAGTTGAGTATGTTTGATACACTCATATACGCAGTTAATAGGTAAAAGCTTGCGCAATCCTGTCTGAGTTGAATTCCTTACATCGATTCTTCCTCGTTTCCGTCCAATAGTCAAGTTAGTTTTAACGTAAATAGCACCGCCCTGAATTACGTTAGATGGATATGTTGAAGAATATCATCTACGGGCACTGCCCACGGTACTCACTGAAAAAGCGTAATTTCGTGTTGCCCAGATG